GTTGGCATGACCCTTGGAAACACTACACACGTTACCCCTTTGGGAAACGCGAACGCCAACCCCTTAATTTTTTGTTTCTTTCGTATTTCTCTTTTGCTTCTTTTGCTTTAGATTCCTCTTCCTTTACCTCGGTACGGGGTCAGTGTTAGCGTTTACCAAAAATGGACGTGTGTGGCATTTGCCAAGGGTCATGCTAACGGATTCCCAAGAGTCCACCAATGGATCTTCCTGTAATTATTTTCACACATTTTCTGTATACTCTGCCCGACGTACTCTGCCAGAGTACGTCGGCGCCCTTGGATACGGTCATCGATATCACTCGTGGAAAGAACCACATCCATGCCAATTGTGGAAGGTACCGCATCTATATCACTCGTGAAACGAACCGCATCGATCGTTTTAACTATCACACACATCACGGCTTACGCACCGCTGCTACGCGGAAGCCCAGAGGGAAGAACAACCGGCGACGGCAGAGCGGCTACAGAGCACGCCCGCATTCCTCCGCGCCGCGGAGCAACACCTCCCAGATAACAAAGCCATAGTGCTACACAAGATGGCGTGATCAGAGAACGCCAACGCTGGGCAAAGATGGCACACGACGATTGTGTCAACGTTCGGTTCAAACTTGATTCGAAGTCCAGTGCTGACGCAGCACTCGTTTCCAATCTGTGTCCAGCGCTGGCCTTTTCTGATTAAGCCATCTCATTCAGAACTACGGCTTTGCTATCTGGGAGGTGTTGCGCGGCGCAACCTCCTCTCTGGCTCCGCTCCAGCTGTGGGCGTGAGTTTGCCGAAAACGAAAGGGTTCGTTTTGACGAAAACCCGGCGGTGTCTTGTTAGTTTCCCAGCACCGGGGAGAGAGAAAGAGGTTGACGCATGCTGACGTCAGCGCTTCGGACCAATGGTAGCGTCAGACGCGTCCCCCCTTTCCTTCTCGTGCTCCCCCTCTCCCCGGCGCTGACAAACGAAAGACACCGTCGGGGTTTCCTCAATACGAGCGTTCTAAGGACACTCTGCAAATCTAACTCAGTGTAAAGTCCAGAGCTTCCTACAAGTAGCGACATTCATTGAAGCGCCGACTACGTGACGGTGCAGGTTTTAGGAAGTCAATGGCGGCGCACAGCAGAGGTTTGAACTGAATGTCGCCATTTTGTTCCAGCGGAATGTGCTTTGTCATTTGTATTAGTTGTCGTTACTTGTAAAAGAAGTATTAAGGAACTTTAACTTAGTACCGATACGCGCGCTTCTCGGAGCGTCGTCGTCGTATTGCAAGGTCGACATGCCTGCTTAGCTACCACATTGCTGACCCAAAAGAGGCCGCGTGCGCCGCTGTTCGCTGGGCGATCGGTAATGGCTCGTAGCGGGCACAGGGTGCTGAGTGCTAGCGCAATAAAACAGCAGAGATTTAGATAATATTGCATTCATTAGCAACCAAATGAATATTCATAGAATGCAACTCTTTTTTCAACTCTTCGTTCGAGCTCAGGGGATGTTCATCGTGGCATTGAACATTGTTGGAATTCGAGTTTCAAGTTTGTTCATGTCAGAAATCGATCTTGACGCAGCAATAACTTTTGTTTCGACGTTCCCAGACAGTGGCAACAATACGCGCTCATTTTCAGAAACCTACACTGACTGTGATTTTGTATGCATCAGTGGCTCTCGTGGCTCATGTGTCCGTCAACAAAGAATGCGAGAGGTTTAGTGTTATGAATTTGCCGAATATTGTTCGAAATTATTCTGCCACGCTTAGAATTGATATGTGTCACCGGGCGCAGGACGTAAATTGGCAAGCAACCAATGTCTGTAGGAGAAACTCGGCAAGAAGATCGTCTTCCAAGAGCGGGCAATAGGATCATCGGAATACCCCATATGTTTATCACAACTGGCGGTGCGCCATGCCGAAATACATAATACTCAGAGTTGTGCGAAGTCATTGTGAATTTCGACAACATATTTCAACATAATAAAGAAAAATAAACGACTCCATTAAAATCAGTTGTGGCTTGAGCAACTGTTATGCAAACCTAAACCGTTTTACATCCTCGTAGAATAAGCCAATAATAAAGATTCAATTTACTTGTGCCAGCAAAACACCACGTCTTCAAAGTTTCTTGTTTCCTCCTGCAACTTGGGTTTTTTATTTTATATACTTGCTGACATTCGAAGATATCTGGCGGGCATGCTGAGTTTCACTTAACCGCTGAAGTTTGAAAGCGTTGTGTTGAACAAGAGGGCAGTTCCCCCCTTCTAGTTTTCATATTTTAAGTGGTATTAAGTTCATCTAGACATGTTCTTCTGTGTGAAAAACATAAATCGGTAACTTAAAAGTAATAAAGTTGTGACTAATGACTCCTCCCCCCCCCCCAAAAAAAAAAAAAAGAAAACTCTAACATACAAACAAATGTTAGTAGAAGTTGGTTTAAATGTAAAGATTAAGGCTGCTTCAGACATTTCCGTTTAACTGTGATCCAGTGCGTGGGTAGGCCAGGAACAATTGCGACCTGCGTATTTGTTTAAATTTTTACTTTTTTTTTTTTGTTTGAAATATTTGTCAACATAATAAGCGACAATTTTTCATAAACATATAAACTTGAAAACAGCGCAAAATACACGAAAGAAAAGACCGAGAAGTGAACGAACACAGCGCTGACTGGGAACTGAAGTATATTCCTGCAAGAAACGGATAGGAAGCATCAAAGCAGCAATATAGATAAGATAATCAACCCCCTTGAGGCACGCCTGCAAGTATTTAAACAATCAACCCCCTTGAGGCAGGCGTGCCTCAGGGGGTTGAGTATCTTTTATCTATCCTGCTTATTTGATGTATCCTTTCTGTTCCTTGCAGGATTAAACTTCGGTTCCCAGTCGGCGTTGTGTTCGTTCACTTCTCGTTCTTGTCCTTCGTGTATTTTACGCGGTTCTGAAGTTTTCATAATGCGCCAACTAGCCCAACTTCATGCCTTGTTGCATTTCATAAATTATGTGTCAATTTGATTTCGTAAGCACCGCGAAATTTCCAGTCTATTTACAAACAAGTCGGAAGTGTCCCAGAGCTACCCCAGATGGCGCCAGGGTGCTCTTGTGTTAATCGCATAGAAGGAAGCAAAACTCACTCGATTCACAGTCAAACGCAAATGTGTGAACCAGCTTTTAGGGTAGCAGTCAGCGCACGGATCGGATCAGTCCTGAACTTTTATAGCTTCACCGAATACCATTTTATTTAGCGCTCTCTGGGCGGCACCATTTTGTTCGACAGCAGCGCCCTCTCCATACATCCGGGATATTCAGCGGGTTCGGCGGTGTAAAACGAGAGAGAGGGCACGCGCCCGACTCCGCTAGCAGACGACAAACCGGGAGGTTGCCATTCTCCATCTTTGGGTTGTACCTGTGGGCTGTACGGAACATCGAACTCTCGCTCGTGGCTGCCGTTATGAAGTGGTTCGCGTTCTTAGAATAGTTATCGCTACCCCCAAAATCAGCCTATATCTCTCTGTTGTTCTATTTCCGTAAATGATCAACTAGCATCTCTTTTCCGCGTTACTTAAATAGCAGTTGAGTCAGCCCGTAGTACTACCCTCGACTACTGCGTGTATTGCGGCAGGAGAACACGTTTTTATTCATCATTTCAGACTTCGACTCATGGTCGCTAAAGGCCTACACCAGTATGAACTTTGTGTAGTAAAAAAGGTACAGCAACCGATTTACTTTTCGCCGGAGGGACCGGCCAATCTGACACAGTTTGCCCTATTTTTGTTTATTTGCACGCAGGTAACAGCGCAATCGGACCCTGTTAGTCTTTTTATGTAGTATAGTATTACACAATAAATGGCATACCAAACACTGCGCATCTGCGCTTGAAATGTCCAAAATGACGCGATTTTAAACCGAGTTTGAACGCCAGTCGGATGCTAGGTACAGCCCACTCGGCGGAGCAGACGATATCCAGATGAGAGGAAGAGGGCATTTTTTTTTTCTTTCTTACCCTCCCTGCTATGACCCTAATGGAACGGTCTGTGGGCGATGCATCTTACTCTGTGAAAATAAAATGGCCTTGGCGCCGACAGCTTTTGCGTACTACGAGCGGCTGTACGCGCGTAGCAGTTCGGTTTTCCCCTTCGAATTGGGAGGGGTGACTGCCGCCATCTGTCGTCCCAAACAGCCTCCGAGACAGCGGAGACAGACGCCTCTGATGTCTTGTCGAATTCGGTATTCCGGTTCGTCGGTGGCAGCCCTCTCCCTCGGCGAAAGTACGAAAGCGCGACGACGTGGACAGCGCGGTGCTCATAAGTTCTCTCGGAAGCGGGCTGTACCCACCGGGGACGATCTGGTGCTGTAGGCGCACTTTCTGATGCAAAGGAGCGGAGCAGAATGTATTAACCATGTTGAATTTACCCGAGACAGGGGTAGAAGAGAAACAACAAAAAACGACTTCCACCTTTTGTTGCTTCTCTTCTGCCCCAGTATGACGTTAATTGAACTCGGTTAATGTTCACCATGCAGCTCGCCTGCACCCTTACTAAACTCGCTTAGAACGTATTCTCCCAGTAAATTATTCGGGCTAACTTTGGCATACATTGCCAAGTTATTCGGGCTAACTCGGCATACATTGCCGCGACTGCAGATGCCAGCCTCAGTTTCAACAGCGCGAGGTCGTTAAACATCACCGGGACCAGCTGACACGTGAAATTTTGGAGGCCCTAGAAATAGACAGATTGGGAGTCATGTGTGTCAGCAGCCCTTCCGTTGCCTTATCACTTGATTAGCTTGGTTGTAGCGCGTGCCTTTGTTTGTCTTTTTAGAGGTGATACTTCGTTTTTTGTGCTTTTGTTTTGAGTGTTTTTTAGGCTGATTTTCTTCTTTTTGTTCTCAATTGTGCGTATATATTGCCCCGTTGAGTCCAGTAAAGATTTAGTTGCGAGTCAGCGCTCTGTCCGTGTCCTTCTTTACCCTGTCCGTCGTTTTTTGCGCTGTTTTAACCTTTTAAGTAACTTTAACGTTACGCTTATCCTTTTCTTTCTCCGCCTGACTGGAACGCAGACGGCCTCTTCCACACGGTGGAGATCCTGGACACGGCCGGCTCGCACCACTTCCCCGCCATGCGGGAGCTGAGCATCCGATCCGGCAGGGGCTTCGTCCTCGTCTTCGCCGTGGACAGCCTGCAGTCCTTCCACGAGGCCGTGCAGCTCTGGCATCTCATCGCCAAGATAAGAGGTAGTACGGCGCCCGCTTCCCGCTTCTGACACGTCCCTCGATACATTCTTTCACCAGTAACGACAAGTGACACACATTCTGAAGATTATTCCACTGGAACAAAGTCATAACAGAGTCATTTCATTCTATAGGTGTGTACCGCTATTCGCCTTCTAACACCTGCACCGTCGCTCAGTCCGCGCTTCAAAAATGGCGTTACTTTTGCAGGAAGCACAAAGTGCAGCTCTTACCGAGAAACTTTATCCGCTTCCTCGTGCCAAAATCACCTATAGACCTTTGCAAACTCGCCTTCTGCGCGCTGCCATCTTTGTCTGCTGGGCTGTGGAACACCTTCTGAGCATGCGCGGCTGCTCTGTTGTGCTGTATATCAGACGCTGCGCATGCGTCCACAGCTCTGTGACCCAGCGTTTTTGGCCCGGGGGGTAAGCGATGCAAAGGTCGATACTTCGTTTCCCCTGAGGTTCGGACGCAGCCGACGGTATACGGGCGGATGGGATTAGTCAAGCAGCGTCAAAATCAAAAGCGCAAGTCACTAGGCTTCCCCTGTACATGATTGGTTCAGCGTTGATAGAACACGTACATAAACATGACGAACACCGTGTTGGTGCACTCTCAACGTTTTTTAATGGGTCCCATCGGATTGTAAAGTTGGGTGCGGTCGGACGTAATGGGTAAACGGAGTACAGAACCATCAAAGCCCGCGGACAGCTTCCCCTGCCGCCCCCACCCCCCGGTAGTGTCATCTAAAGTCCCTGGATACTCTCTTTTTAGACGTAACCACCACCTACACGCACCACTAAGCTCATCCCGCTGGAACAAAAAGCGGTGTCTTTTGGTTCACGCTGCGAGCCGACATCCGCTACCTAAAACCTGCCCCGTCGCACAGTCGGCGCTTCATAGAATGACCTCACTTGTAGGAAGCACGAGGTGCGATGTTTATTGAGGAACTTCGGCGTTATCACACCCGGATATCACCAACTCAGCAATTCGGTCTAGGCCCGGTTAACTCGAAGGTCGCCGAGCGTTCCTCGGCGCATTGACCGGACACAAGTCCCAGCCGAACGCTGACGACGCGCTCGTGTTCAATGTGTGTCTCTGCTCGATCTCGCTGCGATGACGTCGAAGTGCGACTGCCCGGACTTTGATTACGCTAAGCAGTGTTCTTCGTCTTCAACTATCAGCCAGAGGCAAACTAAAGGCACACTCGTGCCAATTTAGCTATACATATTCACTTCGAACATGGCCTCTTCTCGTTTCAGGGTATCTATCTTTACCCAGAAAGGTTGCTGTTCTCGAAGAATTGTTTTGTACAAGAAGCATTTGAATGAGTCATTGAATAGATATATAGCGTTTAACAGCTTGCGCGACAGTGTAGCTAAGAAAATGAGCCGGGAAGTATAACGTAACTCTATAATAACGTTTTACGTGAATTTATACGTCTCGTACGAGTGGCCACGAGATGAAAAACATACCAAGTCGTATACGAGTCATCACTGTGAAAGATATACCCTGCTAGTAACAAATGTCAGCAATATAGCTGGCGACGTGAAGCACCAACCAGGCTAACAACCTTTGAAAAGAAAGCGTGTTACGATCGCCATCGTTTAATGAAAGAATAAGGTAATTACATTAAAATATTATAATGAGAGGAAAAAATTATAGAGGGAGAAAATTATTTAATAAATAGTGGGCTAAAATATTATTTATGATTTGTTTTTTACTCAGCCAATGAAAGATCTAGACTGCAAAATAAGATACCCTTAGATATCAAAAACAAAAATGTAAACAGCAGGTGGCTAATGAACCTTCTGAAATAGTAGATATACACAAAAAGAACCATCACTTTAACAGTGTGTGTTACAACCTGGAGTAGTGTTGTCTGTATCGTGAAGCACAAGAGAAAACAAAAAAAGTTCTAGCCAGCAGGTTTTTTTTTTTTTTTCTTTACTTCTTAGACCGCTTCAGGCTTGTGCTTCAAAGTTTTCTGCAAGGTAGCAGGACGAACTTCTGTTACTGGTGGCCTTTTATGAAAATGCAATTTTTTTTCTAAAATTTTAAAACGAATTAAACGATTAGCAAAGAGCACCTGGTGGATTTCGCTAACGCCTCCCTTGTAATGCCCGTCTAGGAACCTTCACAGCTAATGACGGTGAGTGTCTCGCCTCCGGCCACGACGAGAGAAGAGGGGAAGGAGAAACTCCCCTCTTCCCGAGAATCCCTTTTGTGTGTCGCAGAAGTCGCTATTGTGCCCCTACAAGATTATAGAAGATTAACCCGTCACTCAAAATTCGTACAAAAAGCAGCCGCTTCGGTGGCTGGAACGACTAGGCCATCCTCTCGACGTCAGCCTCGCCGTAGCTTTGCTTGACCCGAGACGACCTACGTCAAGATTGCGTTGAATGTCACGTGGTCTCCGCTGGGCCTTCTCCGAGCGCTTCCCAGAGTGGGCCGTTTATAACGAAAAATACAGCCACCAGGCTCAAAATACAAACGTGCCATTGTCATTTACGGATATTGTGGATCACATTCAACCTATTTTTTAACACGACGGGAATATTTCAAATTTCGTTGAAGTATCCCTTTAAAACCTTCTATTTAACCTTTGAACGGTTATATTCCGTTTATATTCGTCATGTTAAAAATGTGAAGTAGCCTATACGGGGTGAGCTACGATAAAATTTCCAACAGCTTATTGTGCGCTGCCTCTTCTCTGAAAATAGGCACACACACAAAAAAAAAAATCTCATTGAATATTCCACATAAGAGCTGCCTGTTAAATCGTTTTCAATACCTCTTCCGCTGTATTTGATCTATACTATCAATCACAAGATTTCTAGAGTACCGAAGAAGCTCGCCTTCCAGGTCACGTTTTATTTTAAAAGGCAGTCAGATGTTGGAATCCACATAAAACCTCCCGCACCAATAATCAGAAAGTATAAAACGAGCAACTCCTTTTGACACCGGGAAGACAAACACCGCTCGAGGAGTGACGAACGGCCCAGCCTGCGCGAGACAGCGCCGCCTTGCGCAAACTCTCAGGAACGCACACCATCGATCGCGTGGCGGCGGCAACCCGCTAAGTGCTGCCGGAAGAAAACTGTAGATGGCAATGCGGACAAGGCTACCTCCCACGCCCCGCTCCCCGCACACCGTATACCTGGGCGGCAGGCGGCTCTTTGGCACCCGGCAGACATTTCGAGCACGATCGAAACCGGGAGTGCAATCGTCCCTTTTTCTCCCCCACGGCCGCTCGCTCCTTTCTCCGGATTCGCCCTGTCGGCAATGTGTTTGCATCAGCCTGGATCCGAGAGAGGGAGGCTACGGAGGAAAGCGGTGTTCCGAAACTTCAACAGGTGTCCCTGAACTCCCTTTCGATCGCCGGTCGACGGGGCGACCATCACCGGCGGCGGCATCGGCGGTCTATTTTTGCATCGCACCTCCTCTTCCCCAGGTGTGAGCGCCGAATGTCAGCGCTGGCGCAGGCGCCGTCCCGCGTGGACGGTGACGGCCGCCTTGCAATCGCACGTCTCTCTTTTTTTTTTAATACGTTTATTTTGTGTGCCGTGCTTGATTTCGCCCGTTTGGGTTAACGCCTTTGTCCAACGAGGGGCCGGGCGTTTCAAAAGGCTCTCGAAAGCAGCATGTCCTCTTTTAGTTGTTTCCGGTATTCTGTGGCAAACTTCCAGCTCAGCACGGAGGGACGATGGTTGCTTTCTGGGGGAACGTTGCGTCTTTCGCTAGTTGGGCGACCGTGACGCGGATCGAAATGTCTGGATGAAAGTTTGTTGGGGTTACGTAGCTACTTTGCGTCGTGGGCATTGAGGGACATTAATTGTCCAAAACTACGCGGTCTGTGTGAGATATGAAAACACACTTCCTGCATTATTCAAAAAGGTTTATGGCAAAATTGTCCCGATGGCAGATAACATTTCGCTATGAGACTTAGTTAATAAGTTTGTAGGTGAAGTGATCGCTACAACTACGTTTTCAGAGCGGCTCTTGGCGTAGATCTGAATACCTCATTTTCAGTTCGCTCTTTAGTTTGTATTGTAGCGAGAACTAACTTTTTGATCCCCTTCTTTGCAATGTTGCGGGAATGCTAGTTTTGCTCGAAAACAGTTTACAGCTACGTCATCAAGCGTTGTTGGATTTCCCTTGCTGCTACGCCCCTCGGAGAATAATCCAGTGCATTGTTTTAACAACCGATAGTCACTTACTAACTGTCAGAGTTGCACGCCGCGATCCAAAGGTCTCTCTGCCCATGCTTTTTCGCCTGCCTTTTATTAACGGCGGAGTACCTCTCGCATGGCTGAGTGCACTTGGTCACCTCACGGAGGTGTCGGCCAGAGATGATCAGCATGCGAGAAACCTGGCCGAACGTTTCTTACCACCAGAGTGCCCACAGCGTACACCCTTCAATGCCACTGCCAGCCTAGTTGAGAACCGTGTGGTGTTTTTGTTTAAACGGCGGGAGGATAATCAGCCTGTGTGCGCACATGGCGTCTCCATTGTATATAAGAAATTTAGCCAGTGCAGTAACACTGTCAGTTCGTTGAGGTATGTAACTCGCGTCACGCAGTACACATACATGACCGAACGCCGATACAATGCTCGTCCAGATCGAAACGGGGAGGGATGGAAATTGAACACACGATCCCTGGTCTCTGTAGCACGAGCTTTCACTCCAAGTGCTCCCAGCTTCGGGGCACTAACACACTCGGCCACCAATACCCCCGCCTAGTTCAGAGGCACGTGTTATAGTGAGTTACAGGTTAAGAAGGTAGCGGCAAATGCACCTCAAAGGGAATCATATATCCCTTCGCCTCCTCCCCATCCAATAGCGTCCCATCGTTTCCGTGACGTCGCGGTCAACGCGCGAGGAGGGTCTTGCCTTTCTGTACATGTTTGCTTTATCTTTCGACCTTGAGTTAGCATTGTGGAAGCCACGAGAGGGAGATTAGAGTTTTCCCCCTCCGATGGAAACAAAGACGACTTTCGGG